GGGGAGGGGGGGGGGGGGGGGGGGGGGGGTAAGTGATTGACATGCAAGCCATGACGTCATCAAACCAAGCTTCGCATGTGTCTCACGCCCATGACTACATCAAATAAGAGTGAAATTATCATGTTTTCAATCGCTTTCATTTCCCGGTCAAAAAAAAAAAAAAATTTACTGCCATTTGAAAATGTTCAAATAATTTCACATCGTTTGTAAACGTGAAAGGCCACTATGATGTCAGTATGTATGATTTATTCTTTTTAATGTTTTTTCAAAAATAGTTTGAAACTATAGACTAATGCCTTGTCTTAGCGCTATCGCCAAGGTTTGTGGTCAATTTTCTTGAATTGTGATAATATAGTAAAGCTTTAAAGTTTAAACTATTCATTCAAAACATAAACAACAAATAAAAGAGAAGATCACGAGGTCATTAATCAAACACAAATCATAAATTATTAGGCCAAAGGCTAGGTGAACATAGAACCTTCTAAAGAAATTTATTTTCTGACTTTTGACAGCTACGCCATCCCTATCTCTCTTTCTGCCTTTTTGGTTGATGAAATTTTGGTGTGTGAAAGCCTTAATTTCTTGCGAGTTGCTTGGCGACTTAGCTTTAACATTGCCGTTTACGAAATTTCCAACTATTGCTTCTTAATTCCCCATCAACCCCCTGTTCCTACAGCTAGGCGCATGAAACAGAGGTCTTCCATCTTAGCTGTTGGATGGTAAGTTTAAAGGGTCTTTTTCATATTGAAATTAATATACACATCCTTGTTTTTTTAAAACTTGACTTGATTATATGTAAAATAGTCAAGTTAATTAAATTTGACTCATTTTTTAAATGAGTCGAATTTAAATAATTTTTTTAATTCGTTTAAAAAAGAGTTCGACTTGATTATCAGCCCTACATTCAATTGACAAAAACACATGAACATTGCAGAAAATTTATTCTCACTTCTTCTCCACACCTACCCAAACCTCAATAACCATGTACATACAAGTGTATGTGCAAACTCGTAATTGCATGTATTACACAGCTACATAAAAAAAAAAAAAAAAAAAATGTTCTTTTGACAAGGCAAATGCACAGGAGAGGCAAATATTGTTTATTTTAGCTCTAACAAAGTTTGTTTTTAGATATCATATCTGGAACAACAAAAATATCTGTATTGTTACAAAATACATTGGGCTGCCACAAGGGGGTAGGGGGTAAGGGGAGGATAAAGAAAGAAACAGCAGGATAGCCATGATATCCCAGCACAGCACAACAAAAAAACCTGCACTTCGGAGTTCAAATGATGTCGGCAAATCAATTTGAATATCAACTAAAGATTCGGTTTGCTTAAAAGGATATTCTTTCATAAGGGAAAAGTATAGTTACTATGTCACCACGATAAATGCAAATAAGATGATTTCAATTTCTATAGGAAAGAAGGGAATAAAAAGAAACCAAAGAACACCACCACCAAAAACCAGTGCAGACTGATCATCTGTGTGAGTAGGTGGGCCACCAATGGTGTGCACATTACAAGCATGAAATAGATCACAGAGAGTGCAGACTATTATCTCAGTGTGAGACAGGTTTAGCTCTCGATCATGCATTCTGAATGTGTTTGCCCAGTAATGCTTCCCCTTCCCACATAAAAAAAGCAAGCGAATTGTTCCCATGTGTCCTGCATATAAGACAGGCAGCCATTCTTACCGTGATATGGTGTGCTGTGGTCACTAGATGAGAGACACAGGAGCTTAAAACCACTCCATCGGTTAATATAAAAGAATATGACACTGAACTGTGAAAGAAACTGCGCAAGTTGTATCACATTATTCCACAATGATCATCCCAATGGCACAGAAGATTACAACTAAAGATTAACAGACTGCTAAATGCAACTATAGTCTGTTTTGTGTTAACTTTAGAAGTGCAAGAAGGAAACATCAAAACCTTGTGGGGAGAAAAAAACAAGAAAATAAGAAAGCAATTGTCCATCTAATTATAGTTTTAGCCATAGTTCAATTGATTTTCTTGCTTCGACATCTCTGACAATTTTTACAGTAGCATAGCCAAAATGGATAATTATTTCGGTAGAAGAGTGGAGGGGGGCCAAAAGGGAACAAAATAGAACATCTTCCAATTTATTCAGAAATGGAAACGTTAGAAGGCAAGCATAAATGTATGCAAGAGGTCTTCTTACCCTCATGGTTCCAGAAAAAGCACAAGAAGGTTGCCTATTTTCTTCACCTCCTCTTGTTATAGCAAGCCTTCGGAACCCAAATTCCACCAAAATCCCTTTGTAAATTGCTTTAACCTTACACAGTCTGCATGTTTAAACAGCTTGTGTTTGACGCAGTAGTCTCTCTCCAATCTTATAACTCATTAACAAGATCACTGTCTTGTTGTGAAGGACAGGGTGGTGGGCGGATGTGTTGCCCTCCTTGACGAGAATCTGAGCTCTCAGCTTGAGAGGCCAAGTACTCGAGTGCTACAACAATATCATCAATTAGGGGACGAAAACTTGCTTGTTCCTGAAGGCACATTGCTGTAACAGCAACTGCATGGTGCAAACAACGGACAGAGAAGCTTCCTTGCAGCAGGGGGTCAACCAACTGAACAAACTTCCGCCGGTCCTTCAAAAAAGGTCGAGACTGCAATGTAGAAAAAAAAGTTGTACATATTAAGGAGGATCAGATCAGTCCTGCAATAGAAATTCAAAGAGCGTTCTTGGTCAGATGTATTGGCTTAGAAGTGTGCCCCATTACTAGGGAAGAAACAAAGTCCCATGTCAAAAATATTCAAAACTTTGTTTCTGGTAAATAACATAGTACCATAAGCTTCAGAGACAGAGTAAGAGCTACCATTTCAATTTTGGAACTCTATATATGTTGAAGAGAGTAAAAATCAACCAGTAAGAATGCCAAAATGGAGTATATTCGATTTTCATGGCATCAGAATCCAAGTGACAATGCAATAAGAAGGGGCAATGTAGAATAAAGAAAAAGTCATAGAGCCTACAGGGTGCCGGACTCCATCTGCTGTTTACCAATGTGAGCTATTTGATTCAAGATAGAAAAAGATTCTTGTCAATTATTCTCAAGTGTAGATCTACTAACTGAAGCAAGCTACAATTTATGAGATTCAACTCACCCACACAACCAGGTTTTGCTCTCCTGGCTTCTTAGTGCAGTCAATGGCCTTGCGTCCAGTGATTAACTCCAACAGAACCACACCAAAGCTATAGATGTCGGATTTTAAAGTCAGTTTGCCACTCATGGCATACTCTGGGGCACAGTATCCATATGTTCCCATTACACGTGTTGAGACATGAGTATTGTCGCCAACAGGTCCCAGTTTAGCCAGTCCAAAATCCGAGAGCTTTGGATTTAAATCATTGTCCAATAATATATTCGATGATTTCAAATCGCGATAAATGACAGGAGGATTTGCTTTGCAATGCAGATACTCGAGACCACGAGCCGCACCAATAGCAATCTTTAGCCTTGTGCTCCAACTTAGTGGCTCCTTATCTGGATCTATGTCTGCAGATAAAGAGTAAAATACCATCCACTTAACAATTACGCCAGAAAAAGATTGAGATACGCATCAATTTTAGGAGATGCCCAGATTATCAAGCAAACAAGCAGAGAAACTAGAACCACGTTGGAACCTGACAATTGTTAATTTTACACTAACAATTTATTTATTATGCTTTTAGATGAGATTTGTAGTGGTACAGACCTTATGAAACAAAGCCATAGAGCAGAGGATATAATGAAATGAGACCTTAGCTTATCCCTCATTGTTCACGGGGATCCATATGAATGGCTTCATACAAACTGCTCAAAATGCTACACTAAATAACATGAAAAGTTCTTTCAAAAAAATCTATCTTTAGAAATACAAGAGGCTCACAATTTTAGCCACACTAAGCACTAAACTGGTGTAGAGTGGTACTTGGATAAAAGCAAACCATGTCCCAGAGAATTAAGAGAACATTGAAAAGGCCATCCAAATGTTCTCAAAGTTGGTGCAAGTTTTGTTTTGTCTGCTGCTGTTTCCATTTCTTTTTAACACACTATGCACAGGGTGTGTAAAAGGCTTCAAATCTCCCCTTGTTCCAAATGTAGTGAGTTATTATATAATTTATTGCTCAATCAACAATCATGTGAACAAAGAACAAACTGCAGGCTTTATAAATAGAAGTAGCCAGCAGGAAAGAAGTTTATGNGTGGTACAGACCTTATGAAACAAAGCCATAGAGCAGAGGATATAATGAAATGAGACCTTAGCTTATCCCTCATTGTTCACGGGGATCCATATGAATGGCTTCATACAAACTGCTCAAAATGCTACACTAAATAACATGAAAAGTTCTTTCAAAAAAATCTATTTTTAGAAATACAAGAGGCTCACAATTTTAGCCACACTAAGCACTAAACTGGTGTAGAGTGGTACTTGGATAAAAGCAAACCATGTCCCAGAGAATTAAGAGAACATTGAAAAGGCCATCCAAATGTTCTCAAAGTTGGTGCAAGTTTTGTTTTGTCTGCTGCTGTTTCCATTTCTTTTTAACACACTATGCACAGGGTGTGTAAAAGGCTTCAAATCTCCCCTTGTTCCAAATGTAGTGAGTTATTATATAATTTATTGCTCAATCAACAATCATGTGAACAAAGAACAAACTGCAGGCTTTATAAATAGAAGTAGCCAGCAGGAAAGAAGTTTATGATAATGTGATATAAATGCTCTGTTGCTGTAGATGCTATTCAGGCAAACACTTCACAATTCTGTCAAATAGAATTATCTAGATAGTTCAGACAAAAATTAATTCCGTTCAACTCAACAAAACCTTTAACCCAACTATTTGGAATCAGCTACATGAATTACGTTTCTCCATTGTGATCTATCAAGGGCCATATTTTCTATTAAACTTTGACCTATCATAGGTCCGACAAAAAAGGAGGCAAAAATTTAAGGCACAGCTATTAATATCACAAGAAATATCACAAAATAACCATCCCCAGTACAGGCCAAAAGAAAAAAAAAAGGAAGATTTAGAAGTAACTGTCATCAGTGCTGCAATGGTGTACAACAAAGCTTCAAAACTAGATTGGCAGATGTGAATAGGTTGATCATATAAAAACAGGTTGACCCATGAATCTAACTGACTAGAATACATGTGCAGTATGCTATGATCAGTGTCCAGAGCAATAAGTGTACTTTCTAGAGTACAAGTATTATATTTCAGTCTCTGATTGCTCACAAACTGAAACAATTAACTTTGTCCATGAGTAAGCTACACCCAAAGTGCTACCTCGAGTGTCATCTTGCTTTAACTTCTTTTAGTTGTTTCACTGTTTCATTTTGCTCTCTCTAAAAGCCTACTCTTATATGCGGTCAGAGCAACCGATGTAATGATGTTAGACCAGAAATCTAACTGAGTAGAGCAGTTGTTTTAATTTTGCTTTATGAACCATACCCTCTATATTATGTATGAAAACCACTTGTTGCTTAGGATTGCAACCTCAAACCTAGTTTCGCTACCTCCGAACACTCGAAAATATAGAGACTATCTGAAATTCCAGAAAGAGAATATATATAAAGCAGTATCTGATAATCAAAACTAAGAAACAAAATAAGAAATATCAAATAGACACAAAAAGAAAATTAATAGAGGAACAAAAAAACTGAATTCTCAATATGACAATAAATGTTTGCTTGTACTCCATCATAAAGAATTACCAAAAAGATGATACTCCAAGCTGCCCATCGGCATGTACTCATAAACCAAGAGTCTCTGATCTCCATCAGTGCAATAGCCAATCAAATTGACAAGGTTGGGATGGTGCAGAAGACTTAGCATAAGAACCTCCACAATAAATTCCTGGTTCCCCTGAAGGCCATTGAGATTAAGTTGTTTGATAGCTACGACCTGCCAACAATAACTGAATGATGATCAGATTAGCATTCTCTGCAAGTAAACTTCTGAAAAATGCTGGCCTTACCGAAATTTCCCTATAGTTGAAAAGCAGTAAGAAAATAAGTTTACTGTCTTCTGATAACAAAGTGTTGTACATTTAACTAAGTAATATATAAATATAGAGCACAACAATTTGTAAGTTTTCAAAACAAATTGTTCCAGAAATCAATATTTGCAGACAAAATAGAGGTTGGAAAGCTTGCCTTCCCTGATTCAAGGCGGCCCTTGTAAACACTTCCAAAACCCCCTTCCCCAATCAAATTAGCTTCTCTGAAATTTTGTGTGGCGATTGCGAGGTCACGGAATGTGAAACTACGTGCAACATTTCCCTTTGCGCTATTGTTTTCCTTGCCTTTCCCTCTTAAAGAACCTGTATTTCTCCCATTTTCTGCAATTGAATGCATAATTCAAGAGAATTAATCAGTAGCACAACTGTTGACATTAGAGATTCCAGTTCATTCATTAGGGTTTTGATTTCCTTACCATTTCTATCAGCATAAGTCTTTCCTCTCCCGCTTACTGCAAAACCAAGTGTTGGTCAAATTGATGCTAATAAACCCAGAGAGAGAGAGAGAGAGAGAGAGTGAAGCACCAACATTAAGCATACATTTTATTAAAACAACTATAAGATAGTAATTAATTAATTTTGAAGAAGGAGGAGATAAGAATGGGATATAGTTACCTGAAGAATCAACGGATCGGGTAGCCGTATCATCATCATAATTCCTGACATCCTTTCGGCGAGGACTCATACAAGAAAAGCAACTCATCTCTGTTTATGTTTGCAGGAGGTGGTACGGTATTTCCAAAAAGACAAAGATAATTTCCAATAGACCAAAAGCCGCTTTATTTATCCAAAACGAACTACATAACGATTACAAAAGCAACAAAGAGACCTAAAAAATTCGAGAAAAAATGCCTAATCCTAAGGAGAGAGAGAAGGTTCATTCTCTCCCCTCCCCCTCCCCCTCCCTCCAAAATGGAGAGAACCAGAAAACCCTAAACCAGAACAACCAAACTCAAGCATTCATTACTCAATTTGGCGTATATCAACAACCACATTGCCCGAAAATTTCGAACAAAGACAACCAGACAAAGATAAATATATATATATATATATATATACACACACACAAATTAATTCGAAAATTAGAAAAGACGAGTACTAATTCAACAGAAAGAAGCTCTAAAATCGCTGGTTTTGAGGATCAGCAAGTGGGGACCATTGAATGAAGGGGGAGAGAGAGAGAGAGAGAGAGAGAGAGGGGTACAAATACAAATCTACTATATTTACTGAAAGTTCTTTAGCTCCACATTTAGCGGCACTTTTATCGGTAACACTCTGTCTCCCTAGATAAACTGGTTTCGTTGTGCGTGGGCCTGGATGATTTCGTTCTATCTCTCTCTCTCTCTCTCAGCAACAACGAAGGGAAGGGGAAGGGGCATTAAAGCACTTGGATGACTTTTGCAGGTCGCTATCGGTCTCAACCCCCACTTTCATTTCTTTCTCTGCATTTAAACGTTTTGGTCGGGGTGCGGTTTCATTTACTGTATTACCCCTCATTGTACTCATTGATTTACTATCTTGCCACTGGCTTTTGGGATATTTTTAACACCTGGCAAACCTTATTAAGTGATGAATAATGGTGTCTCCAACTTTGATTAGGACTAGTAAATAAACTCTATCCCACCTAATTTCTCCATGTCAAAGAAGAAAACAAATCATTAAATTCTGTGATTTTTCTTTAAATGGATGGGGAAGAATTTATGATGCACCAACCCGTTTCTATTACTTAAGCTTCAATCTATTATTCATTTACCCAAACAATATTAAAATTACGAAATCTAGAAAAATCATTGACTTTGGTAGAAAGTCGACTTTAAAAACATTTTTGTTGGGTCATTTTTGGCTTTAATTTAAATTTTTACTTAAATTTTAAATAAAAAATTTGTTTTAATACAAAATACTCTAATTGACAAACTCAGATCTAAAAATCGATAAACTCAAATTAGAGATTTAAATCTCACTTGATTAAGATAAATATTTAGGTGTCCCTGAGTTTGGGCAAAGCAACAAGGATTAAAAATGGTCTTAAAAGTTGAAACTATGATTTAATGAAGTGGGGCCTAAACCAATTGATCATCATTAACTAAATCTCTTATGTATCCTCTTTGGGAGGTTATGTTATTTCCTCTTGTCGTGTTTTTTTTTTCTTCACTTTTCGGTGTGAGTGTGAAATGGCCATGCTCGTGGAATGACAAAATAAGCACAATTAGGAAACGCTCTTGATTTTTGAAGAATTTAACAGCTACGATGCATAATTACGGATTGACCAGCACAATAGGAACAGTGTGCGCTCAGAATCGATGGTTGGTCTTCGCTGATTTTCAAGATGATTTTCAGAATAGATGGTTGGTCTACGGAGGAGTAGACTACTATACATCTAACAAGCTTTTTGGTATCGAAAAGCGTTTGACAGACAAAAAATTAAAATTATTATTACAAAAAAAAAGATCTGAGTAAAATAACAGTCGAATAATCGGATTGACCTACTACTCATTTACATTATGCAACAATAATGGGTGAAATATGTACTACAACAAAACAAAAACTAAAAAAGTTGTACCCAAGTCTGATCCTTTTTTCAAGGGTTAGATATGCTTGTTCGATGGTAGATCACTTTTTTTTAACCTTGTTTCAAGCAATCTAGTATATGATTTCGAAAGTGAAGAACCTCTTTATTATAATATTTTTGCTTCTCATTTTGGACGTTTTGTACTCTCTTTTGCATCCGATTTCGTGGGTCTTTAGAGTTTGACCCTCCATTTGTTATCTTTTGGATGCATCATTAAAGTACGGATTAATTTATGTGCATTTTAATTGATACCTTTCACAATCCGGTTAAAAACAGATTATTCACAACGAAATAATCCGATTTCAAAGAATTATCAAAATTCAAACTCAAAACATCTGAATGTACAATTTATACTTGTATTTACTTGAACTATCTTGAAATTTTGTCCCCTCTGTCTTCACTATTAATAGCTACAACTCAGGGCTACTATGTTGGATTGTGAATCGATGATTCTCCAAAATACTAATTGTGGGTAGGTTGGTTTAGCATCGAGATCCTCTTTAGTTTAATGAGATTTTAAAAAATGAAGTTTAGTCCAACATAATCTATTATGAGAATCTACATTCAAAATTCAGTCATATCACCTAGATAAACTCTAAGGTTGAACTCCAATATATAAAATCTAACCAAATCCTAATTCCACGATACTCATATACACGAATTATAAATAATTAGAGGTAGCCCGTGCTTAAAGGCACAGTACAATGTAAATAGTTTTAAGAGGGATATTGGTGGCTGTTGAATGAACTTATTGAAATCTATTTGATTTTATATTATAGATTATATATATGATTTGAATACAATATAACTTAACTCAATTGGAGCCTTAACCTCATTAAAGCACATAACATTTTTTCAGGCCAATGAAAGTCTCATTTTCAAACGCATGAATTCAGAAAGCAAACTCCTTGTTTATATGTGTGTGACAGCCCTCTCAGTATGAGGATCACACATCTTTTCACAGAAGACAATTGATTCCTACCTATATGTCTGGTTTTTGCCACTTAGGATATTTGCTTGTGAACAACAAAAAAACCTTTTGCCGTGAGGTATAGGTAACAATCGAAACGGTGGACATCATGTCAAGCCCGGTGGCAACTTGAAAAAGAGCCCTCATTGTGTGGCCCACATGACTATCTATCTGCACTATATTCCACCTCAATCTGTAGAAAAGTTTTCTTTCAGGTTATAGGTAACAATCTTTGTACTTCTTTCTTTCAGGTTATTGACAAAATCTCTGTACTACTTATATAAATATTAGTAGTAATATGTGCTGGATGGTATGGTACATGGTGAATAATTTTAAAAGAGATGTTAATGGATGTTGGATAAGTCTATTTGAGACCGTCAAATGAGTTTACTGAAACTTGCTATAATTTATATTATAAATGTGCCTTACTATTGCTTAAAGTTATTAATTTAAAATTGTTCATATTTTTTTACAATTGTAACTTATACGTAAAAAAATTATAAATTAACCTAGAAAATTTATAAATTTGGATACGGTATCAATTTCGGTAACTTAGTCTTCGTCTTGGTTATCAATATCCTTCTATCCTTTTGGGTAACTACGAGCTGATTGCACATACTTCCATTTCGTGTGCTGTGTTTTGTCCGAATTCTAAGCCCCACTATTGTCCATGTGGTTGTGTGTTTACTCTCCATCCAAAATTATGAGTTGATTCCCCTATAACGTGGGCTTTGGCAAAGATTGAGGAGTGGCGTCCAAAAGGTTAATCACTGAATCCATTAGAAATAGGTTGATGTCTTTTTGCGGCTGCAGATTGCAGTGAAGATAAATAAATGCTCACTCTTTTTTGTGTTCTTCCACGATCTGAAAGTGTAATTACGAGATAAAAAAGTGATGGATTGATCTGACTTGTGCATCTGTCTTTTTTAGTTATTACGACTTAGTTTTGAAAGAAGACTTTCACTAAACCAAAGACCTAGAAAACTCGACTCCACATATTTACTAAACAGTTCCAAAGTAGCAAGATGAGTAAATAAAATGTGTTGTAAGCGGTAGTGAGTACTCGTTCCAGAGACAAACCCCTCCAGCAAAAACGCTCCCTCACTATAGACTAAACTTGCTGTAAACTTTTTCAATTATTAGTAGCGCCTCACTATAGATACGAATCTCCATCCTGTGGCTCTGCTTGTTGTTGGCAATTACTTAAAAGTTATGTTCAACGATCTCACGATATGCATGATTAGTTACCCAAGAGAGTACAGTAGTCTTTGATTTTTGTCTAGTTTTTCCATTGTTCACTTGCTAAACTTGTGGTTTAGTTAGTTTTTTGAGGGTTTTTTTTTTTTTTGCTGTTTTACCTTTGTAAATGAAATTAATGCTTATTCAATAAAATTCAATTATTTACCCAAAAAAAAAAAAAAAGATTGAGGAGTGGGCCAACCAGGAAAACTTATAGGCTAATTTAGAAGTCGGTATAAAAATTTAGACTTATTTGAGGTAAACTACATTAGAAAAACTTATTTGACTCAAAGTGCATTTTTTTTGACAAAAGACTAAAATGTCATTTATTACTCCATTACTGTCTTTCTCTCATTCTCTCTCTCTCTCTCTTTATTCCTTATTTTATCTCTATCTATTTATTTCTCTCGTTCCCTCAAATTGATAATTTATTTTTTTAAAATATATAAAGATTTAATTTAATTTTTTTATCTCTCTCTCTCTCCCCCCTTATGTCCTAATTCTTTTTATCCTTATATAAACGTTACAACAACACAATTACACTAATCAGGTGCACAAATTAGTTACAATTAATTTATACTATATCAAACAGTTACTCATGTGTTCTAATAAAACAAACAGTTATAAATAATTATACAAAATTACAACACAAACTCAATTTGTCATCCAATTATTTACATAAATCAAAAAGTTATACCAATTATATACATCAAATTGAGTTTATTATTACACAAAATACTTTACCATTATAATAAATTTGGTATATATAATTGGTGTAATTATATCGCGATACTAAATGATACAATTATTTAGTGTCATAATTTTATGTAATTGTTCGGCGTAACTATTTGGTTTTATTAGATGCGTTAGTGTCATAATTTTGTGTAATTATTTGGTGTAACTCTTTGGTTTATTAAAATAAATGAGTAACTGTTTAATGTATTATAAGACAATTGTAACTGATTGGTGTAACTATTTTATTGCAATGTTGATATATATATATATAGAGAGAGTGAGAGAGAGAAACGATTAGAAAAAATAGGAGGAGAGAGAATATGAGAGATAGATGAAAAAATAAATCAAATCATTACATATTTGAAAAAAAAAATTATCAAGGATAGATAAAGAGAGAAAATAGGGGAGAGATGGGGAAAGTAACGAGAAGAGAGAGAGATAGTGAGGGAATCTAATGAAATCTTTACATATTTGATTAGATATATAACTCTCAATCAAGAATGCATAATTTAAGGGAGGGTATTTAGGTAAAAATATTTTTATTTCATTTGAAATTTGTACCTAAACACAATATATTTTGTTAAAATTGAACTTACTAGAGTAAACAACTTATCTATACACTTTTTCTCAAATAAATCTAAAAAATTATATCTACACCCAAAAAAAACCCAAACATATACACTCAAGTCCATCTAGGCATAATAAAGGCAAATCATTC